GGGTGAGCACCCTGAGCACAGAGAGGTTGAGTCATTTGCCCAAAGACACACAGGTGTCATTTTATGATGACAGATACAGGCAATACGCACACAGCACCTGATAGCTGATATGAAGAGCTCATCAATCATGACAACTCTTATCATTGTTATTAGTAAGATTTCCATCTTCAAGCCGGGCACAAGACCTCACGTCTGTAATCCCAACACTTTGGGAGGCTGAGGTGGGAGGATCGCTTGAGTCCAGGAATTTGAGACCAACCTGGCCAACATGGTGAAACCCCATCTCTACTAAAAATACAAAAATTAGCCAGGCATATTAGCGGGCGCCTGTGGTCCCAGCTACTTGGGAGGCTGAGGCAGGAGAATCACTTGAACCCGGGAGGCGGGGGTTGCAGTGAGCCAAGATGGCACCACTGTATTCCAGCCTGGGTGACAGTACGAGACTCCGTCTCAAAAAAAAAAAAAAGGTCTAGAGACCAGCCTGGCCAACATAGTGAAACCCTGTCTCTACTAAAAATACAACAACTTAGCTGGGCTTGGTGGCAGGTGCCTTTAATCCTAGCTACTAGGGAGGCTGCAGCAGGAGAATCGCTTGAACCCGGGAAGCGGAGGTTGCAGTGAGCCAAGATCGCACCACTGCTCTCCAGCCCTGGCGACAAGAACGAAACTCCGTCTCAAAAAAAAAACAAGACTCAATAAAAGGGTAACTGCCCTAGGAGGCTGCCCGCTGACACTCATGTGGAGTGTGCTGGGATCATCCACGTCCGCTCCCACCCTGCAGTCCGCCAGGACAGCAGACAACACCAGGACCAGTGTGGCTGGCCCAGCCAGGGCAGGGGTGGAGGCAGGCGGGGTCGGCATCACAGGTGTCCTGACGCTGGACCCCTCCATGTTGGGTCCCTGCCTTCTGTGCCCCGTGAGCAGGTACGTCATCAGCAGCTTAGAGCTCCTGGTGGCTGAGGACTACATGATCGTGTACCTGAACGGCGCCACACCCCGGCGAAGGATGCCGGGGATCGGCTGGCTGAAGAAGTGCTACCAGATGATCGATCGGAGGTGAGGTGGGGATGCCTCAGGAAGCACAGCGGGGGCATGAAAATCGCACAGGGGGCCGGCCTTGGTGGCTCACACCTGGAATCCCAGCATTTCGGGAGGCTGAGGTGGGAGGGTCCCTTGAGCCCAGGAGTTTGAGACGAGCCTGGGCAACACAGCAAAACCCTGTCTCTACAGAAACACTTATAGGCTGGGCGAGGGGGCTCACACCTGTAATCCCAGCACTTTGGGAAGCCAAGGTGGGCGGATCACCTGAGGTCATGAGTTCAAGACCAGCCTGGCCAACATATAGTGAAATCCCATCTCTACTAAAAAAATTCAAAAATTAGCTGGGCGTGGTGATGAACACCTGTAGTCCCAGCTGCTTGGGAAGGTGAGGCAGGAGAATCACTTGAACCCAAGAGACGGAGTTTGCAGTGAGCCAGGATCATGCCACTGCACTCCAGCCTGGGCGACAGAGCAAGTCTCTGTCCCCATGAAACAGTCACTCCCAATTCCTTCTCCCCAGGCCCTGGCACCCCCCATCCTACGTTCTGTCTCTGTGAATCTGATGACTCTAGGGACCTCCTAGGACTGGAATCACACAGGATTTGTCCTTTTGTATCTGGCTTTCCTCACTGAGTGTGACGTCCTCAGGGTGCATCCACATTGTAGGCTGTGTCAGAGCCTCCTTCCTTTTCATGGCTGCATAATATTCCATTGCATGGACATACCACATTTGGTTTGTCCATTCCATTCATCTTGATGGGCAAGGGCTGCTTCCACCCTGGGTTATCATAAATAGCCTCAGAGTGACATTAAAATTGAGCCAGCAAATCCGTCCTTGCACCCAGGTTAGTGGAGGGAGGCTCCAAGGACAGGCTGGTCCCTCCTAGGGCATTAGGTGGTGAAAATACAATCTTGGCTGCTCAAATAACTGCCAACCTGGTTCACCTGCTCTGCACCACGAGGTCTCTATCTACCTCATCCACCTTAGGGTCTTAGGGACTCAAAGGGTGTGTCTTTATCCCACCATGGGACCCCCATGTCTTGGATGGGGGCAGGGATTTGACAGGTACCTGGAGACCACATGTGAAATGAGCAAAGTGACAAATGCTTGCCTGTGGCTCTCCCGTCCCACCCAACTCCTCCCTCCCCAGGGCTCGCCCCAGGAGCCCATCTTGCTTCCTTTGCGGCCCCACACAGATTGCGGAAAAACCTGAAGTCCTTGATCATCGTCCACCCCTCGTGGTTCATTCGGACTGTGCTGGCCATCTCTCGCCCTTTCATCAGGTGAGATGAGGAGGCTACAACCGGAGTCTGGTAGCCTGAGTGTGTGTGTGTGTGTGTGTGTGTGTGTGTGTATGCATGCATTTGTGTGTGCATCTGTGTGTGCACATGTGTACGTGTGTGTGCATCCATGTGTGTGTTTGATCTGCATGTTCCAGCTTCTCTATGATGAATACACATTATTGCTTTAAAGAGTTTTAAACTGCACACAGCCAGGCACCCTGGCTCACACCTGTAATCCCAGCTACTCAGAAGGCTGAGGTGGGAGGATCGTTTGAGGCCAGCCTGAGCAACATAGCAAAAGCCCCATCTCTACAAAAAATACAAAAATTAGCAGGACATGGTGGTGTGCACCTGTAGTTTCAGCTACTTGGGAGGCTCATGTGGGAGGATGGCTTGAGCCCAGGAAGTCAAGGCTGCAATGAGCCGTGACCAAGCCACTGTACTCCAGCCTGGGTGACCAAGTGAGACCCTGTCTCAAAAGAAAATCAGCCATGCATGGCATCACATGCCTGTAGTCCCAGCTACTCAGGAGGCTGAGGCAGGAGGATCACTTGAGCCCAGGAGGTAGAGGCTGCAGTGAGCTATGATCGCTGCACTGCACTCCAGCCTGGGAGACAGAGCAAAACCCTGTCTCTAAAAATAAAAAATATATATGCATAAATAAATAATATGATTAATTAACAACAAATTTAAAATGTAAAACTACATATATTCTATAATATATATCATAGTTACTACGTTAAGCATAGAGTAAAACAGATCAAGTGAAATAAAATTAGGCATGTTAAATGCCTTATTCAATCCAATAAAATGTCATGCAAATTTAATTTAATCTGATGCAAAACACTGAATTGAATAAAGATTCCTAATGTTCATGTTCCCAGTTACAAATCTGGGATGAGTGAAAGAGACGAGGGCTTCACTCTCCCTTGAACGACAGGACACATTCACAGCAGGCACGATTTTCAAGGCAGACTCTTTGAACATGCTGTTTTCAAGGACTGCTAAGTACCCTGAAGGGGTTTATTTACATATTAGCAAAATGAGATGAGGAATACACTAATTATGGATCATTTGCGCTAATAATGAATCACGCAGGCAAAATGGCAAACACGCATTTCAGTCTAAGAGAATTGCACTTTCTCCTCTGTATTCCAGAATTCAGTAACATAGATTGCCTTTGCCTTTAATGTAGATATTGGGTTGGTGCAAAAATAATGGGAGTTCTTGCCACACTTTTCATTACAAAAACTACAATCACTCTTGCACCAACCCAATAATTCTATTCTTCACAGGGCGCCATGGCTCACGCCTGTAATCCCAACACTTTGGAAGGTCGAAATGAGAGAATCAATTGAGCCTGGGAGTTCGAGACCAGCCTGGGCAACATAGCAATACCCTGTCTCTACAAGAAAAAAAAATTTTTTTAATACGGCCGGGTGTGGTGACTCGGGCCTGTAATCCTAGCATTTTGGGAGGCTGAGGCAGGTGGATCACTTGAGGTCAGGAGTTCCAGACCAGCCTGGCCAACACAGCAAAACCCCATCTCTACTAAAAATGACAAAAATTAGTGGTGGCTCACGCCTGTAGTCTTAGCTATTTGGGAGGCTGAGGCACAAGAATTGCTTGAGCCTGGGAGACAGAGGTTGCAGTGAGCCGAGATCGGGCCACTACACTCCAGTCTAGGTAACAGAGCAAGACTCTGTCTCCAAAATAAATAAATAAATAAATAAGAAAAGAATTAAATTCTATCACTTTTGGTTTATTTGGCCATGGAGAATGTTGAAGATGTAATTTTTGACTCTACAAAGGGGGAAGGAGCTGTAAGCTATCCCCATTTAATAGCCAACAAGACTGGAGGCTCATTATGGGCTCCTATACAACCCTGAGGTTTCATGATTATATAAATGAAAAGGAAATTTCTATTTGTGCCACGATGATCTAAACATTCGGCATGTGGCCGGGCGCGGTGGCTCAGCCTGTAATCCCAGCACTTTGGG